ATGAGTGGAGGAGTGTGTGATAAAATTATCATGGTTATACACTTTATATACATCATTGTATGTATACACCCAATGTATATAAGGTGTATAAATATTGCATAATGGATATAAATTATGCATATTTAGCGAAGGAAGGGCTAGTGATGGAAGCGAATCTAGAATTTCTAAAATAAAAATGTATTAGGTGGAAATTGATCTCTGGTCAAGGTAATAATTAAATATTAAATTAAGTGCACAATTTAACATTCTTGTAGTATGATGAAACAAATAATATTATATTTATTGATAAAAATATACATAAAATATCTCGAAATATAATGATCGATCAAGGCAAGGAAATAATAATAGAAATAAAAATATACAGTTATAACTAATACTTCAGAAATGAGGAAACAAAACACTCGATTGATTACCTAGAAACTAATTATTCTAATTTTTCAATTTTCTTATCGTCCTATCAAGGATGATATTCTCGGGGAACTGAAAATGCGTCATATCTTGCCTAATCACCCACTCTAATACTTCTTAAACCTAATTGCTATCCCTCCACAAACCCTTGACGACCAACTTCTCACGCTTCCACATCTCCTCTTTAGATGTGTATATAAACTATCTCAATCTTACTTTCCGCATCTTAGCCTTCACGAGGCCCATTTTTACCTCTCTTGATGATAAATCTTCATTAACTGATACTAGGAACCGATTAGGTAAAAGAAGAAGCATGACATGAGATAAACGACAAACAAAATTTCAATAATGTATTACTACTCGATCCCTCTTAATAACCTCAGACATTCATCTTTATATCCATATCTTTGCATACTCATCTTTCGAATATGAGATTTTTCGACTAACCAACACCGTTACCACCGAAATAATTAACCATGTTCACCATGTGGGGGAAAAAATAAAATTATTTGTATGTAAAGTAAAAAGACAAAAAAAGGTCTACTTGTAATCCAGTCGATATACAACTCATCTCTTTAACGGTGTCGGCCATTTTTCTCTCTTTAAACCCCAATTTCTCCGGCCGATCAGTTCTCCTCTTTGTTGATCTCATTTTTCGATTCTCTGATCACTTTACAGATCCGATTTCGAGTCACTTCCGAATCGGATCCGGGTCAGATGGCGGCATCACGGAGGCTACGAGATCTTCAAGCTCAACCGGGGAACAAGATCTGTGTTGATTGTTCTCAGAAGAATCCTCAATGGGCTTCAGTTTCGTATGGAGTTTTTATGTGCTTGGAATGCTCCGGTAAGCATCGGGGACTTGGGGTACATATCTCGTTTGTCCGATCTGTTACCATGGATTCATGGTCTGAGATCCAGATCCGGAAAATGGAGCTTGGTGGTAACGAGAGTTTCAACAAATTCGTTTTACAGTATGGGATTCCGAAGGAAACTGATATTGTTACCAAATACAATACAAAAGCTGCTACTGTTTATCGTGACAGGATCCAATCCCTAGCTGAGGGGAAACCCTGGAGAGACCCGCCGGTTGTTAAGGAAGTTCTGAGGGGATCGGCTAGTAATAATGGTAGTAGACCACCGTTGAGCAGCGGCGCAAGCGGTGGTGGCAGTAGGAATGGTGGATGGGATAGTTGGGATAATAATGATGATGGAGGGTTTAGTGGTAGTAATACTAAGGATATTCGGAGGAATCAGACGGTGGGAGATTTTAGGAGTGGCGGTAGTAGTGGTGGTGCACCAGCTAGGTCGAGGTCGACTGCTGATATCTCAAAGGAGCAGTATGAGGCGTCAGCGGCGAATAAAGATAGCTTTTTTGCGAGGAAAATGGCTGAGAATGAGTCCCGGCCTGATGGGCTTCCGCCTTCTCAAGGAGGGAAGTATGTTGGGTTTGGATCAAATCCTGCCCCAATGCCTAGGAATAACATGAATCAGCAAGGAGATGTTTTTTCTGCTGTTACTCAGGTTATTTACCTTCCCTTACATTTTACATGTTGTGATTTGATTGAACAAAAGTTATATATTATACTAGTGATAGTTGAAAAGTAATCCGAGTAAGAGACATCTGATTAAAGTTAGAACTGCGAATAGTTAATGAATTTGTACAAAATGTGCCAATCATTTTGAGATATATGGAAAGAGTGCCGTATATGTTGGGACATAGATATCTTGTGGTTATGCATGTAAGAGTGAACTGCGTGTACCTGTTCTGCTGTGTTGTTTTATGTCTAGTTTCTTATAGCTGATTGAGTTGCGATGTGGCATGTGTAGGGATTTGGTAGGTTATCTATGATAGCTGCAACGGCAGCACAGTCAGCTGCAAGTGTGGTTCAAGTGGGGACAAAGGAGTTGACTTCTAAGGTAATTTGATTCGACTTCTGGATTTAAAATTAATGGTTATGTAATTGTGTTCTACTTTACATACACATACTGTTTTTAGTTCTCGAGATATGTCTTGATTCCCTTTTTTGGGTCAAGCAAGCCTCTCTTGCCACTAGCCAGCTCTACTTTATAAGGTGCTCTGTTTCTAACTTTCTCTGTTTCAATTTCGGTGGCCATATTTGTTCTTGTCGTCTAGTTTGTGACAATACCTCGTAATTAGACTTTACTAAGAAAAGGACATCCTTGTGTTCTTCCCATACTATCTTATTTGGTACTAATTGCTGTTTTTGGAAGCTATCTATCATCTGCAGAAAGAGGATCATTTCCTCCATTTCCCTATCATTTCATTCGTTTATAAAAGCAAACTTAATGACTGAGATCTGAATAATTATGATTAAGACTTTCATTAAGTGCAAACAAATGAAGCTCCAGTATTATTAGGTGAAGTCTTGAAAGTGGGGAAGTATACCAAGGGCACTAGAGAAATATGGGGACTTATGCAAAGATCTCTGGTTGATGTGACTGTTGATAGAAGAAGAGTAGAAAATGGAGTAAATAAGTTATCCAAAATGGACAATAGGATATCCATGTAGTTAGACGATCTGCATGGACTCAACCCAAAAACCAGCCAAAAAATTTTTTATGCAAAGAGCTCTGGTTGATGTAACTGTTGATAGGAGAAGAGTAGAAAATGGAGTATATAAGTTTTCCAAAAATGGACAACGGGATATCCATGTAGTTGGACGATCTGCATGGACTCAAACCTAACACCAGCCAACAAAATTTGTATGGCCAATAAAGCCATAGTTAGACAATCTTTATGTTGGCCGTAGTTAGCTTGTAATGGTCAATCTGCACAATTCAAGTCCATAGTTAGACGGTCTTTATGTTGGCCGTACACACTACAATCAGCCACCTTTATTCAGGCTTTGAGCCGATTAGCTTTGTGATGCTCAAATATGTGAACATATAATTTCTTAATTAGTTAGGTCGTTGTATGTGAATATCCACTAGGATTTTCTTTAATTTTAAAGGTTGCAGAGTGAGGTATCAGATATTTAATTCTATACAGTGACCATGTAAATATTTCACTCAGTTTATTAGTTCTAGGGCTGAAGACAAACTACCTCCCGCAGAGATTTACGCAGTCTTCTGCTATTTCATGTAAACTGGGTTAGTGCTGTTTTCTATATCATCTGAACAGAGATTTAGGGAAGTAAATAAATGATTATCTTGGGTGCTATATCATAAACAGTGTCCTTGCATCTGCAGTCTCACCAATATTTCTGCATTTCTCTGCTATATTGTTACACACCTTATGTGGTGCTTATAAAAATATGTAACATCTGATACCTGTATGGATCAGTTCAACCCTTTAAATATGCAAGTTCCTTTTTTGTTCTGTTTATTTTCCATAAATCGTCTGGGAGAATGGTACACTTGCATATGTGAAAGAAGGGCACACTTGCATGGAGTTACTTAGACCAATGTAGTCCCTGTAGTTCCTACGATATATATCTATAGGAGAAAACAGTTGCTATTTGATGGATATAATACATTCACTATCACATGTTTTGACTGAACCGGAGTGTACTTCTATTCTGCTAGAATTATATTATTTTGGTGTATACGGCCATTCTCTCAGTTGGAGTCTATAAAGTTTACCCTTCATTCCATAGGCATGAGAATTGCCATTGAATAAATCAATTGGCTATTCTCATCTGAGTTGAAATTCTCTCTCTGAAGTTGTTTATGTGCTTGTAAAAGTCTGCTCTTCAGTTTTATTTATTTATGTTTGCTCTTTTTTCTCAATTTTTCATCAATCATATAGTCTACATTTTATCTCTGGTATGTTGTTTGCAAAAGGAGCAGTTTAGTTAGATGATAGTTGAGATGCGTGTGCCAATCCTATTCTTTCAGGTAAAAGAAGGTGGATATGATACCAAGGTTAATGAAACTGTCAACGTTGTCACAGCAAAAACAAGTGAGATTGGACAAAAGAGTTGGGGTATCATGAAAGGAGTCTTGGCCATGGCTTCACAGAAGGTAGAGGAATATACCAAGGAAAGTCCAGCCTGGAAGAATGATAGCTGGCAACGAGGTGAAAGTGAAAAGAATGGCTATTATCAAGACTTTAATCAGGATCCTAAAGGATGGAATGCTTCTGGAGGAGCCCAGTCTTCTGGAAGGAACGTTAATTCTGTCAGCTCTGGGTCGTGGGATGATTGGGACAATGAAGACAAAAGCAAAGTAAATCCTCCAAAGGCGGCAGCAGCACCCAACAACAAGAACGATGACTGGGCTGGATGGGATGATGGTCAGGATGATGGATTCGACAATCACTACCAGAGTGCATCCAACAATAATCATGCTGCTGTTCATGCTGGAAAATCAGATTCCAAATGGACCGATGGAGGTTTCCTCTGACGGCAGTAAATGTTATAACTTCCTTAGTTATTTTTTCCTTCGAGATTCAATTTTCTCCATGTCTTATTGGGAAAAAAAGGAATTGTCTGTCTGAATATAGTTGATATTTGTACCATTGCCAGCAGCAGGTTGTGTTAATCGCTCCTCCTGTTAAAGAACAAAGAGCCTAAAGCACAAACAGAATCAGACTCTTGTTGAAGACCATTATTCGGGGCTAAAAAACGTTTAGGTTACATTTTGGATTTGTAAAGACCATTTTTGTTTCTGTTTGTTCTATATATTGGAGATTCTTGATTATTATGTCTGATTTCTGTGTGTTTGCATATGGAAATTTAAAAGATGTTGGATAAATGGTTTTGGCAGGTTAACATCTTCATCTGGCTCATGAATTGTGTGTTTACAGGGTTTGATGTGCTTAGGCTTTTGTAGCCATCTATGTCATTCTGTGTGATGATTCAACTAACCTTATGCTACTTCATGCTATAACTGAAGTTAACTTGTCGTTACTATCTAATATTGCCAACCAAATTCTGCATAATTATGCGATTTGATTTTATGCACATATTACATATTTTTCGTAGAGTTAGAGGTTTTCTCGGAATCATAATGTAATTTTTAGATGAGATAATCACAGAGAAATTAAGACTTATTTATTCATTCTAAACATACAGATGAGACACGTTGATATATAAAATTAACTACTACTATTCTTCAAGTTCAACTGCTAGAACTAACACCAACACAATAACATCATATCAAACAGAGTCTGCATGTACACACGCCTTATCCCTTTTCTTCGTGAGATAGAGAAGTTATTTTCGACAGATTCTCGAGTACGAAAACAACTTACACTAATTCGATAATACCTTATTATTATTTCAAATGATTCACACAATATCCTTATCAATGAAGTTACTAGCCACTTTTGAGTTCCCAAACTTAGCTTGTTGTTGATGTTGAATGACTAGAACAGAACTTTTTATCCCTTTGTCTGATGAAGCCAATAAATTAGCCAATTGCCCTAATTCTGAATTATTCAATTGTTGCTCATCAAATAATTTTGCCATTATGCCTTGTGGAAACTTATTTTTATTATTCCCTATTATCATAAGTTCAAACTCTCCACTTTTTCCAATTTCCAACACTTCATTCACCAAATTATTTGCTTCTTTCTCAACATACAAAATTTGTTTACCCCACTTCATCTTGAATTCTGCAATAGTAGAATCATCCAAAGTCCTGTTTGGAACAAAAAAACACATATACAATTTCGATAAATAATTTATTCGACGGTTAGAATCAAACGTTTATACCATCATGACAAAAGGCTATAGCTGATATCATGGACACAACTTTATTTCTTAACTAGGTTCACCAAATAAGTGTCATGCATGTTCAATCATGACTACGACTAGGGTCAACTCAGCCCTCTCGTGGACCTTGCCATCGGTAGGTCATGCCAAAAAGCTATAGCTGATAGCATGGACACAACTATGTTTCTTAAATAGGGTCACCAATCAAGTGTCGTGACTACGACTAGGGTCAACCCAGTCCTCTCGTGGACGCTGTCATAGGCAAGATATTGACGTTATCCAACACTAATAGACAAATGCATATATAGAAGAGTTGATTTTTACCTTTCAACTTCATCAAAATTAGTACTTCCATGATGAATGAATCTTACTAATGTAACCCTAATAGCAGGATGTTCAACCATTCTACTACAAATTTCCAAAGCTTTACTACAATCAGCTCCACCAAAAAACACAATGCAAATTCTCATCCCATTATTAACCAATTGTAATCCACGATCAACCACCACCGCCACCGAGCACCGCGCTTGACTCATCACTCTCTCGTTCGCCATCCTCCATCCGTGCCCTATATGATGGGATGTCATATTTAGCTCATGAAAATATAATTCAGATTTAAATTTAACATATATCTATCGACTAGTATCATTTTGATATGGTCCAAATTAGTCATCTAATGTTCGAGCCAATTTAGGCGCACTAACATATCTACCCTACAATTAACCATAAAGTTAACATATAATCAAAACATTAAAAAAAATTGAATTTTTTTTATTGTGTTTTATTTGTTTAATGTAATCATGATATAAATAATAGAAAAAAAAGAACTTATATTGTTTGATTTGACTCAACTCATTTGTTAGTTTGACTATCTTTTAACATGCTTATTAAATGTCATTCAATCGACTCATTTGACACTCTTATGATCTTACCTGCATGAATCTCCACTTCTTCGTTCCCTTCCATTTGCCAATATTTATCAAACGGCAAAATAATCAATTCGACTCGTTTTTTCTCCGCAATATGAATAATATCCTCATGCAAATCCGATAAACCCGAGATAGCCATTGTGGGTCGGACCATGACCTTTCCTAGCGTGCTATACGCCTCGAACGCCGCACCCACTTGATCGGTCGCGTCATCTCGGAAAAGCACTCGGCCGATGAACGGAAAGCCGTTCTTTCGGGCACGTTGGACCATCGATATAGATGAAAGTCGGTCGGTGAATTCCACAAGTCTCATCACATAGAGTTTTGTGATTGAGGCGTAGTTATTGTTATTTTTGTAAGACCTTAGTGACTCGATGAGGTTAATGAGTGCACGTGCATCCCTCGGGCCACGTAAGCACGCTAGGATTCGAAGATTGTTTTGTTTTTTTGTCTTTTTTTGTGGTTTTTCGATTTGAGGATGTTGTGTTGATGATGGTTTATGAATAGCCATTACTATAGGAGTTGTAATGAAGGTTGTAAAAAGTGCCATGATTACCAATATTGCAAACGTCTCATCGTCCAAAACCTAAAAATAAAATAAAAAGCTTAGTTGTAATATATATATAATTGTCAAAAATAAATATATTAAAAGAATATATTGCATTTTATTATTTTTAATCAATACTTAAAAAAAGAATGACAGTTTTCTACCTTTAACAATTTTTTACCCTTAACGATATATACTCTTATCACTATAGAAAAACTTGGGACATGTCTAAAACGTAGTACATAAGTTTAACAGTTTTTTATATATGTGCGATAAAAGTTTCTTTGCTTTTTTTAATTCTATATCTGGTCAAACAACATCGTATAAATCGAAACACATAAAATTAAAAAAAAAAACTAACCTTTTTTTCCTTGCCAATATTTAGAACAATTAGCTCCACCAACCCTTTTGTATTCATCAAAACTCCAAGTGCTAAAGCTTCCCTCATTGGCATTGAACACAACATTATTCCCACAATAAAAGTCCCAAAAACTTTGCCTACACAAGCTGTGGACACAACAAGAACCACAAGTCCCCAAGCCCTAAAACTATGAATTTGTGAAATATTTGTTTTAATACCACTTGATGCAAAATAAAGTGGTAATAATAATCCAGACACAAAATCTTCAATCCTCAAAATCAATTTTTCTGAAAAATCCCCATTTTTTGGAATGACTAATCCAAATATAAAACCTCCAAATATTGCATGTATACCAATAAAATCAGTCATAAAACCAAATAACATAACTCCAACTAGGGTTAAACATAGGTAAGTTTCTTCAACAATATTGTTGTTACCATTTGATGATTTTTTTGCCACCAAAATCATAATTGGCCTAATAATTAGGAACATAAAAATCACAAATCCAATTCCACTTAGAAAAACCCATAGTGAAATTAAAGGACTATGATGAACTCCTCCTCCTCCTCCTCCTCTAGCTAGAGCAACAGCAAGAGCAAGTAAAATCCATGCAGCAACATCATTGAATGCAGCTGCTGCCATAGCCATTTCACCGATTTGTGTAGTCAGTAACCTGTCGAGACATAATATAATTAAAACTCCTGACATGAGCGATGGTCTTAGATAATTCAAGTATGACCTCGCAGACACACAGTAACGTATGCAGAATTTTTTTTGTAAGCATATGTAACAATATTAATATCATAGGAATAAAGGACAATTCAAATATAGTAATAAATGAAAACTATATCCTTCGCGAGTTTTTGAAATTAGGTTTTTCCAATTTTGCCCTCCAAACCTAATTAATCATGTAGGAGTTTCGAGCATACATGATATGATCAAAGTAACCAAAATTTTCACTAAGAGAAGTCAGAATATAAAAAAAAACCACATAGAAAAATAATAATATAGTATTATACAAATAAAAAAGTAGTCTATCGATCGATCTGCACAGTAAAATTTTCTAGGCTCCACCACAACATATATGTGACATCATTTTTTGGACATATATAGATCTAGGTTAACCCCTAAGGCCCAAACCACCTTCATATGTAGAGAGAGCGTGTGTGTATTACTACAACAAAAATAACTTTTAGCGGCATTAAATATTGATACTAATAAAGAGTGCTAAAGTTTTTGACGGCATTAGTTAAGTGCCATTAGAATCAATGTCACTAAAGGCTTTAAGGACATATACACAGAGTGACAATTGCTGCTAAAAATACATATTAAACGGCAATTAAAAATTAAATGCAACTAATGGTCATTTTTGTTGTAGTGTATGCTGACTTTATCAACTTGAGATTTCAGATGAGATGATCGTATAATTGAACAAACCTTAATTCCGCGAGGATTCGAGCAAGAACAGGAAAGGCAGTGATTGAAAGTGAAACACCAATGAACAAGAAAAATTCTCCATATCCAACACTATCAATCCCTTTGATTATTTTTCTTAGAACAAAAGCAACCCCAATGCTAAAGAAAAAAGGCAATGAAATTCCAGCAAATGCTATTCCAATTGCTTTTTTTCCACTTTTATGTATGGTGTTTAAGTCCAATTCAAGGCCAACAAGAAATAAGAAAAATAATAACCCAATGTTTGATACACATTCAAGAATTGGAGTACTCCATGATGGAAATATCCAATTTGTGAATGTTTTGTTCCTCCCAAATGCTGATGGCCCAAGCATAATCCCTGCCTAAATAATACAAAAAAAAATAAAATATTATGTCACATAGATCAATATATAATATTATACAAACATTATACATGAAGAAATTAAAGCATTTTATATCATGTATAAACCTTGTATAAAAATGTAGGGGAAAATGATAAATATATTCCCGAACTATTGTAAATGGTACGCCTCCGTCATACTTTTGAGACATTGGTGCTTCTGCCGTCCAAAAACTAGAGCGTATATACCCTTTATTCTAACAGACATACACGTGTTATAATCTTAAACATTTATCAACGGATAAGATTGTGCCACGTGTTCCTATTTAGTCTTCCGTCAGAGTGGAGGACATATATGCTCGAGTTTTTGGACCGAGGGGGCACCAATGTCCAAAAGTATGACAGAGGGTATCTGCATACTATTTACGATAGTTCAAAGGTATATTTGTCTTTTTAAAAAAAAAAGTATAATAGTGTACGAAAGGTGTTTATAAACAAATATGAGCTATAAACCGGGTAAAAAAAAGCTCAAAATATGAGTTACGTGCCGTAAATATTTTCTCCTAGTAGACAAATCCCACATGAAAAACGTGGATTCAGAATTTAAACTTGACGTGTTAAGCATTTTAATGTTTTTTAACACATATATATCCATGCTTCGCAACCATATGATAAGGGACGATTGTGAAAATGTTTGATTACACAAAAAAAAATAATGATGTGAGACCATAGTACATAACATTCTTTAAAATAAAACGAAATAAATATATACTGACAGTGTATAAAACTTACGAGGATCTCCGCGACGACTTTAGGTTGGTGGAGGGGCTTGAGAAGGAAAGCAAGTAATCGACTAAGGAACACAACTAATGTTGTTTGAATAATTAATAATGGAAAAGCATAGTGTAAAGTATTTTCTCCTTGCCATATTCCATCTGATGATATTTTTATGGAATTAGTTACATTAAAACCCATGATTAATTATGAGAATTATATTAATTCTTCAAAAATAACCTTAGTTTGAACTATATAATACACAATGTGTTATGTGTATATCTTCCTAAGTTCAAGTTTTTGGTTATATTGAAAAAAACTAAGCCATAGAAAGGGGTATTTATAGTGGAGAGAAAGACCCCGGTTTCATGGATTCAGTATTTTCGACGTGAAGTATAAATTTATATATAATAATTTTATTAAAATTGTAACAAGATTTAAATTCATAATTTTAAAAATATAATAGGTTTAATATTTTTTTAATTTAGTGTTTGATAGTCGTATTAGAGCCCCACTAATTTGAATTCGCGTTGCATACGGCCTCAAGTGCTCCATACCAAAAAAAAATTCATGCTAAAGATTCTAATTTGAAATCTCTGATTAATAGACGAGCAACCTAATAAGTTCAATATTAAGAATTCAAAGATTAAATTCATAGAATTTAAATCGATCCTCGACCATACTAAAAGAATCTAATTATTATTTTCATTGGGTGGGTCTTTTTGTACAATGCAATATACTGAAATATATAATTAGTGGTATATCATTGTCACATAAGTTATATTTTATCTAATAAATTATAATTTAAGGATTTAAATGACCACTTATTAATGTAATTTATTATCGGATCATTGTAAAACATTTTTTATTTGTAGCTTTAAATTCATCATAAGGTTAATTAGCGTAGAAATGCTATATAAGTATATAAAAAAATATTTTTTTCTAAAATTTTCATTATTTTCAAATTCATTAAATATTGGCTTTAAAAAAAAGAAAAAAAAAAGGTGTGGTGTTTTCGGAAAATCATATGTAAGTTCAATTGTCATGTCACTTCTTTTAGTTATGAAATAAATTAATATTAAAATGAGATACATAATTATTTATTTTACTGTATTACAATAGTATTTTTTATGAATTGTGCTGTAATTTGACAAATTTAGTGGTATTTAATTGTTACACGTGTTGTACAAAATTGGTTACTACTGTCTTTTAAATTTATATGGCATTATTCGAATTTTGAGGATGAAATAATTTAATTTTAATTGTAAATTTGAATATGAAATTTTTAAATTTTTTAAAATTAAATTTAAAATTATGTAAAAAATATTATGAATCAAATTTATATGACATTATTCGAATTTTGAGAATGAAATAATTTAATTTTAATTGCAAATTCGAGCATGAAATTTTTAAATTTTTTGAAATTAAATTAAAAATTATGTAAAAAAATATTAGGAATTAAAACAGTATTAAACATATACAAAACAAAATAAGTATTTATTTATTTATTTCTAATAGAAATTTGACACAACAGAAAAAATGATGAAATATTTGATCCACTATGTTAGTGGAAGGTCGTAAGAAAGAAATTAATGATTGAACAAAAAGTCAAATTTAAAGAAAAATTTAAGCGATTAAGTAAATTTATTCTATTTAATTATTTATCATAGCTATAATTTGTTATAATTATCATTTGAAATTAACATTATACGTTAATTATGTGGGCTGACTTCGAGTTTTTATAATTAGTCACGTTTGTTTATGTATAATTCGTCAGAATATATAAATGTTTATGTATAATATACAATTATCTAACCGATATACATGTAGAATTGACATCTCTCCCACTCTATGTCCTTCTCGCTCGCCTCTCTCCTCCCTCTCCCAATCTTGCTTGACATATATACAAATGTATATGCATAATATACAATTATTTAACTGATATATATATATATATACAATCAACCTCTCTCCCACTCTCTGCCCAATCTCGCTCGCTTCTCTCCCCATCTCGCTCACCTCTCTCCTCTCTCTCCCGATATCGCTTGCCATATGTGCAACTATATATATATATTTAAGAATCTGACCAATATACATATACAGTTTACCTCTCTCTCAGTCTTTGCCCTCTCTCCTCCCTATAAAGTATAACTACGAATTGTAATTATTAACTATAGCTGTGGAGAATAATAAAACTTTTTTGAGTGGGTTATATGTGAAAGTTCCTCATTTAAAAACAATAACTAATAATAAAACTCTCTATTAAATTAAAACTATTAGTATTTATTTATTTGAGGACCAAATTTGATTGTACATCTTTCATTCTAATGATTAAAATTGTAGAAAATTGCATCACTTATGAATTTATAATCTGTACTTGTTGAACATTAAATAGTGGATGAATGTGACTGCACTAAATATAAATTCTTTATTTTCTTCCACACACACACAAAAAAAAAGTAGTAGCAAATTTTTGTGGATAGTTTTTGACTTTTTTAATATTTCTATATCTCAAAAAAGTTCATGAAAGATTGGAAAATTGAATCAAATTGAAGAAAAAAATCAATATTTTTAATTTAAAATTAATAAATTTAATTTCTTAACAAGTTAAATAAATTCAAATCGAATCACGAACCCCTCCCCAACTAAATCCATACATAGAGAAAAGTAATTTTTTTTTGTTTTGAGAATTTTTATCAACCACAAAAAATTACAAAGTGGAAAATAAATGTAATGATTTCTCTATATTGTCCTTTCATTTTCAAATAGTAAATTGCTCAAAAAAAATTCTTTTTTCTTTTTATAGTGGACATGCTTGGAAGATGAAATCATCAAGAAGAAAAAAACAATTAATAATTGCTTTATTTATACATTATTTCTTCTAAAAATGGACAAATATAAGCAAAAAGAAGTTTTATTTATTTCTCTTCACTTGAAAAAAAAACATATAATGTACTCAAAAGACAAGAAGTCCAGGATGTGGGGAACCGATTATTTTTTTTAAAGAAAATAAAAATAATAATTCTTATAAGAAATATTTTATATAGTTTTTTAAAATGCAGAATATAAATTATCTAGATTTTTCTTTAATATTCAATTTAATATAGTGATCAACGAAAATCATGATAGATATAATAACTCTTTAGAGTTATTTAATACACAAGCTATTCAATATTTATACTGACGGAAGGTAAAAATCAAATAAAATAATCAAATTTACTTTTGGTTAAACTTGGTTGATACATAAAATTATTCGGTGAATAGGCTATCGAGTATTTTTGTATTGAAGGACCATAACAATCTCGATAGGAAAGCCTACATGACAAGGAGGTAACAATCAACCATCTACTCTTGAGATTCATATTGATCGATGGATCTTTGAACAAGAAAATGGTATTCACACTAGAAGACAATATATGACCATGACATAACAATAACATACCAACTGTAGTAGAGATCGAGGGTGAACTTACCCCTACTTCGTGAAGACAGAGAAACTATTTCTGATACACCATACATCATATACCATGATGCATTTGAAAAGTAGAGTGAGTTTACCCCTACTTTGTGAAGACGGAGAAACTATTTCTGATACACAATACACCATGATGTGTTTTGAAAAGTTTTTTGCTTTCAGATATACCAAGATACAGTCTAAGTGAACCTATATATTAACATAACTAGCTGCATAAATGAGTTAAACATCATAGCTTGCAAGCTGTTCTAAGAAACAAAAAGATATATCTGTCTAGTAAACATGCATCCAAAAATGGCATTAGTAAACTGTAGAGCCTTTACACATTTTTGTACAAATGTGCCACTGTTGCTTATGCCTCCCCTTCAAGTTCCTGAACAAAACATTGACAGAGAGAGTTAAGCGAGAAAATCCGCAACTTTGATTATGGAAGGGAAACTAAATAAAAGTAAACAAGTACACAAACAAAGCGGGGTCTTGGAAGGGTAGAGTGTATGTAAACCTTACCTCTACCTTTGAGAAAGTAGAGAGATTGTTTCTGAAATACTCTCGGCTGAACAAACAGTGAAACAAAGGCAATAACAGAAACTAAATAAAAATAGAGTTTTTTTTCGCCTTTCAGTTTAAGTTCAGAAACTGATTTTCTTCAAATTTTGCTTATATGCATCACGGCGAACCATACAGAGAGGACTAGTAAGGAATCTTGTCAAGAGTTGTGGAGTACAAATAATAAGTTCAGTTCTTTGAAATCAAATACAACCCTCATGAGTCCTTTCGCTTTATTTGTTGCTCTGTCTTATATTAGCAATGATAAACATCCACTTTAACCAAAAACATAACCAGAGAACATGTATAAAAGATGTACAGAGTTTATAAACTTGCTGGTTAACAAATATCGAAGTTACTCCGAATACTTCCAAAAAGTATCAACATACACTCCAACTTTATTAAAAGCGAAAAGCACAAAAAAGCTCCAAAATCCTTTGTGCTTTAAGTGCAAATAAACCATGGCGTCACAAACTTTTTTGTTTTTATGCCGGAGAGTTCTTAACAATAAATATATTCTTTCCTTTATTTGATCAGATCAAAAAGAAACTTGACTTTTACTGACTAAAGGTGCAAATGGAGAAAAAAATATAAATAGATGTGTAATCCAAGATTAATAATCACAAGCATGAATAATAAATTTATGGACAAAGAAATTGAAAATACATTGTCATAAAGTAAAATATCAATTTTTTAGTGTCGCATCTTCAAGACTGCACTCATTAGCAAAGAAAAAGTATGTCTTAAAGCCTTGACGACACTGAAGCGCCTATAAAGTGAGGCGAAGCGCTCTACATGTTTTCTGCCTCGCTTCAGGGCCTAAGTGTGCTTTTAAAGCGCCTTTGACAACAATTAGACTCTTAGGTTGTTTTGTGAAGATTGCCTGATTCAAAGATGTTAAAAATGAATACTTAACATACCTTTACATTTCCACTAGACGATAGGAGCTTTAACTTTCATCTGCGTTGCCGTCTCTTTTTTGATGGTTCAGATCTACACACTGCCAAAGCCATAAACATCCAATAAATTACATAAGCAACAGGCATGAAAAGTACAACTGTGAGAATAGCAAAGGAAAGATCTATTTCACAAGTAAATTATAGGTTAGGGAGCTGGACGAAAATTTCTTCACTCCTCACTCAAGCAAAATTCTTGATATGAATCATCTCATAAGGAAAATAAAGAGATCGTGCAGCACCTCTAGATAGATAATCCAGATTCGGGTCGCCTTGTTTAACTTCTGTAACACTCTGATCCTGAAACATATATAAGGGTAGTTATAAGAAGATGGACCAATTTTGAGATACATGTCTCCTTAATAAGAGCAAATGAGCATACGCCTGAAAGGAGATACACAAATCAAAAACCCTAAGTACTCCTCCATACACCCGAGCTTAACATATTCCAAAGCCTAAAAGTTGATAAATCTGCTTCAAATTAGGCATAGAATCAAGTTGCTTAGAATGAAAAATGCATATGACATGAGATGCCTGTAATAAAAGAATCTGTAGCACCTTAAAGTGCATAAGATTAGATGATAGCCCAAGATTCATGGCCGAGTTATATAAAGGTATATGCAAAATCTGATGACTAACCGCATCATAAACTGCTCTTTGATTGCGCCAAAATGCCATTGGAGGAAGTAGCACTCTCCCTACAGAAATACAAATGCAGGCAAAGTTTTTACATTATATATACATAATCATAAGCAAAATTATTTTCTCTGAGAACCCTAGAAATAGTTAGCTCTGATGACCAATGCACCTGATCTAGATCTGTTAAAACTCAAAGGTTCAGGAGAGACAATTCGAACTGCCTCTTTCCCTTGCTGAGGACTTCCCTAAGTAAACAAAAGAAAAAATAAAAAACTTAAAAATAATCAAACATATAACCAAAAATAGGGTGTGGAATTTGTTTCAAACAATGATGATCAAGAAGTATAAAAGGACACATTAAGCATTGGAAGTTGCTATCAAGTTCACACTGTTCCCAGGTATCAGTTGTTCAATTCGATTAACCAATTATAAAAGCAAGGGAACAAGAAAAGAGATTCCATAATACAAACTTGACCATAAAACAAAGAAATAAACAGCTAAATGAGGAAAAGCCAAGAAAGATAGGAGTATCAGATCTCTTTTGGGACTAAGACACCCACCCCCACCCAGAAAACAAGATGGAATTGCTTGGATTGTGTTCACACAAGCAGATGCCATCACTGTTTTTAATAGCTTTCTTCTCATGTTTAAACATCATACCAGCTCCATATTAACTTACCTAGAAATCTCATACTAAAAAAACTTGTTGCAAATTTAAAAAGAAATATTAGTTTGAGAAACACCTAGAACCATGGTTGCTGGTGGGATAGGAATCCCTAGACAGAGAGAGGGTACGAGCTAATCTTTGACTAGAGGGAAAGCTCAGTGTTTTGGACGGCGAGAGGCGACAAAAGGCGACAAGGACCTGCCTCGCCACGCGGCGAGGCGAGCAGCGAGGCACTTGCCTTTTTGAATTAAGGCGCCAATTAATACCAAAGATTAAAAATATTTAATTGCATATATAAATATCCAAAATCTTAATAGTAATAACACATATTAGCAAATATTCAATTCAAAAACCAATAGTAGTAAAACTTTAAAGACCAAATAACTCAAAATACAATACTAAAACTTTAAATGTCTATTCTTCTTCAAAACTATCCGACTCTTGAAGAAAAGAACTCAAGAAGAACTGAAAAGATCAAAAGAAGAAGAAAAAAAAGAGGTATACCTCAGGTCCTCAGTGCAGCAACAACTCGAAGATGATGGAGAACAAGAGAAGAGATGCGACCGGCAAATTTTGACAATAGAAGAGATCGCGAAGGGAAGAGGAGTCGGGGCGAAGAGATTGCGAGGGGAAGAGGAGTCGGGCAACAGCAAATTTTGAAAATAAACAAAAAAAACCCTAATTTTGATTAATATTGTTAAGTCAAATCTTTTTAAAAAATTTAAATCAAAAAGGCGGCGCCATTTTTGTCGCCATTAGCTCGCCATACCTCGCCATGGGTCGCCTTTTTTGGGTCGCCTCGCCTCAGTGTGGAATGGCGAGAAGGGCTCGCCTCTCGCCTTTGGCGATGAGGCGCTCGCCATTCACAACACTGGGAAAGCTGGCCAAAAGCATAGAGCGTGCATGCTACACTCAGGTATCTCATGGAATTAGTCAAGGTGCGCACAAGCTGGCCCACACACCACGGTTATCAAAAAAAATCCTAGAATCATGAGGATTATAAAGGCTCAACATCTGTCAAGCTTCTAAAACACTAATTTATTTTAGAACCTGTTAAAAATGTAAACGGGGAGTGCACTTTCACAAGAATGCATAATGTAAAATTAAGATAACTTTTCTATGAGCGCCTACTTACATATGACAATTTTCTTTTTGCATTTTCCGTGCTTGAACTTTTAAAGTGAGTTGTTCGATTAACATCTGCAGTTTGCTCCTTTGCAATGCTTGAAGAACTGTTTGTAGAATTAAGCATGTCCAGTGACCTCATTGCTGTTTTTGTCTTCTTTTGTACAATAACTTCACTTGCAACTTCTCCATCATTCTGATTGTCCCTCATCAAATTGTCTTCCACTTCACAGTCTTTTCTCCCATTATGATCCAGTATTGTTTGCTCCTTCGCAATGCTTGTAGAAGTGTTTGTAGAATTAAGCTTGTCCGTAGACCTCGTTGCACTTTTTGTGTTCTTTTGTACAATAACTTCACTTGCAAG